TGTTATGCGCCAAAATTATTAGGATGTTATTTCGAAATTTACATGGGTGAAAGGAATTTCTGTCGGTTCAAAATAATTTAAGATCCTCCAATATGCTGATGACACAGTTGTTTCTTGATGACACAGCTGCTTGTTTCTGTAATGCACTACATATTTTGGATTCATTCGGAAATATTAAAGCGAGTTCGTGATTAGGATTTGCGCATGCGCAGATAAAGGTCATTCGTTCCCAAATTGTATAACCATTGAGACGAATACTCGTAACGTGCTCATGAAAGTTATGTTATTAGTATTCATAATAATTAGGTACCAAAAGTACATTTATCTGATACACAGGTGGAAGTATTCTTCTCAAGAGGGCAAACGATAGGTATTCATGAAGCATCACCATCACTTCGGAAGTGACTATTCTAAAATGCACAAGTGGGCGTATCCATAGTGTAAAAGATCTGTGGATATTTGGGGGTCATGCGTTCCGAAGCTATTTACGAACTGGCTTATTGTAGTGGACTGAAGATCACTATCCAAAAAACAAACGCAATCTAAATTGGGGCCTCTAAATGTAATGAAGACATAGAAGTAGAAAGAAGACGAGTGAATTTTAAACATAATTATTTGTTTACATATTTCCGTTAAAGGGGCTTAACGTCGTGTATAGGATCTGAGTATCTAAAAATAGTACGTGACGTCAGTTAATCCTCATGGTAATTGCTCAAGGGGGCACGAGATCCTCCAAATAAAAAACGCCAGCTCGTAACCTTCGCTCAAGAACTGACAATTTTTACCTAATTATTCCAAAATTTATACACTCATCTTTCGAAAAACGTCTAACGGTTGCTTCTTCGAAAACGTGGAACATTACATGTTGTTTTAGCTCTCCTAAATATTCGACAATTATACTACTATTATTGTTATACATAATGTAAATGTTATATTTATTTCATAATTTTAGATTGAAATTTATATAAACAAAGATGTATAAAAGTTAATAGAAATGTTGGTAATTATATCATCTTAAGATTGTTTCTGTCTCCATACAGCTCCTTTAATTGCCGCCCTTTATCGCTACCATTCCATTCGTCGTCTACTTCTGATATCTGGTACATGTCTTGCTCCAATGGGCGTGGTCTTGACTTCCATGGCAACCAGCAACGCTCAAATGTCAATATATCTCTTAATAACCGGTAAGAAAATGCATTGAACATTGAACTTATTGAAATAAATTGCAGCCCTCTGTTTTGTTAACCTTGCAAGTGATTACTTATAAGGTTTTGTACGTAGTTGGAAGTAGGAAGTAAATTGTTGAATTAACTTAGTTTTATCACATCATCAATTTCGATTTAGAGAAGGCTATATTAAAAGCAGACTTTCTATTTTCTAGAAACAATATGAAAACAAACATGAATAGGCTACATATGAAAAAACAACTACAGATTATACTTGTAACTTGTACCAGTATAATCAGTATGTACTCATACCGATACTTTAATGAGTTCTAGGACAATAACCCCTTGGCATTAATGTTTGTTTCATCGTACACAACTCGCGGTCAGAGGTCAAAGGGTTCAAGATAGCGCTGAGGCAAATTTTGACCTGTACATTCAATTCTAAAATTTGATTATTATGATCCCTTTGTCTCAATGAAAAGTAAAATTTACAAATCTTGTAGCGCAAATGCTCAGAAGAGTAGAAAAAAAGCGAGACAATGTCAAAAGAACCCTGAGTATGTGACGACAATAATAAAAATTAAAAAAAAATAACCTCAATTTAAATGGCAATATGATGGCGTCAGCTCGTTTGTTTGCCTGGCTGCGTACAGGGCATGCATATGCTTGTTAATAAGCAACCCGGGGACCGAAGGCTTTAAATCCTCTCCGAGAGACTCGGTAAAGATGATTCACGATTTACCAAGGGGAAGTAGCTCATCAACTTGGTTTCGAACCAGGGGGTTCGCGGTCATGAGACAAGTGGTCTACTACTCAACCATCAAGCCTCCGTAACATCTGAACCTCTGAACAATTCAAGGTACATTTCAAGCCCTTTTAGAATATACCCCCCCCCCCCTCCCCCAAATGGGGCGGGTCCATTCTGATGATCTGTAGCAGATTCAGATTTGCCATTTTTAGTGCACGCATTTCGAGGTTTTATGTGCGCGTGTTGGAATTATATGGTGATGAAGGCTCTAGCAATGAATTAGAATTGTTTAGAATTGTTAGGAACAGGATCAGGAACCCAAATCATGTTTTGTCATGTTTTATTTTTTTATTACGCCGACGCGCCAAAAACGCTAGTATATACGCGTGTGTACGAAATTTAGAAGAAGTGTTAAAAACTGGCTGAAACATATGTAAAATTAATTTGAGACGATTTTGAGCATTAATTTTTAAATTTAACAGGGCGTTATGGCGGAGACGTACGGGTACGCGCACATTAAATTTGTTGATAATGCTGCGCAAAAAAAATTAAGTGTCATGAAACGAAATATGAAAGTGTTATGCCATTTGGTTTTACAGAGACATTAGACATATTCGGATCCAAAAAATGGCACCAAGATGACTTTAAATTATTTCTGTGTGTCCAGTCCATTAAATATTTTACCATTGTGTCAATTATGAACGCAAAATACAATTGCTACCCTTGAAATATTTATTCCTCAAAAAAATAAATATAAGAAATGATATGTTCATTAGAACATACCCACCTAATAACAGTTACAGCCATCCACTATAACAATAATGAAAATAATAATGATCATGATAAGGAGGAAGATTATATTATTATAATTCTCCTCATAATCATTATCTAAGCATGGAATGTTGTATTGCCCGAGGTAAACTGAATTCTTTTAAAGAATATCTACAAATGAAATAGTTTCTTAGTGATCGTGTTTTATTGTGCGTATCCACTGTGATCATCATGTGCATTTATATACCTCACTTAAAGGTGATACAAAGTTTTGGGAAATTTTGAAAATTGGGTGGATAGTGAGTCTTTACAATTTTGATATATTTGAATGCTCCTGTCGATATATTGAAAGCACTAGAAAATGTAGGCCCTAAAACACTTGTGCTTTCGAGAAAATTTGAATATAACATTTACCGGTGCTCCCAGTAAATTTTGATTAATTTCAAATAGCGCCTACGGCCGTACAGTAGCTGCGACCATGAAAATCTCAGAATATGTAGTTGTGATATATAATTTCCAAATGGGAATAGCTAATCGGTCGATTTTAGTCAAGAAACGTTGTTTTGTAGCTTAATTAATAACTTGACCTTGAGAGGGAGCTATACAACATAAAGAGTTAATTATTTACAATTTCATAACTTTAGACTCGATTTCAACCGCGACAACGGTCACTGAATATTGTAGGATCGCATATGCTTTCAATATGTTAATTTGAACCAAATTCATGACCCCATACCAAAACTTTGTATTACCTTTAAGAAATCCAGCCATCTGATTGGTCGAAGTTGCATTCGTGATTTTATTCATTCCCGTAAAGAAACAAAAATGCCAAAACCATGTAATAGTCCAAGAGTATAATCCCGGCAAAATTCCAGTTACCGGGAAAATAATAAGATCTTGTTGCGATACCCATTGCTTTACGTGTTAAAATGTTCTTTGAGCGAGCGCAGATACCATACATTGTGTTTGTGCGAATTGGTCGCTTAATTGTTAGGTTTTTTAATACAGCGCAGCGCAGCTCAGACGACCGGCGAGGCTAGGCCTAGATTCTACTTTTATTTTCCAAACGAGGCAAAAATGGCTGAAGAAACTCTTCCTAGATTTCAATTTCTTGATGATGATCAATTGCATGACTTGATTAATTCTGCTGACATCAGGAACACCAAAAATTCCGTGAAATTCTCCATACAAATATTTGAAGACTAGATCTAGGCTACCTGCAAGTTATCAACACAGACCTTGATAGCGTAAACAAACTTCCAAATTCGGAGCTGGTCAACGTAGGCCTACTCCAAAAGTTTTACGCTAGTGCTAGACGGAAGGACGGTTCTTTATACATGAAGAAGTCAATGTTAACTATTAGATTCGGACTTCAGCGTTATTTCCTCAATTCTAACAATGTCGACATCATTAAGCATGAAGATTTTTCCAATTCGACGAGAGTTTTTAAGTGTTTTTCAGCAATGCTTAAACAAGAAGGAAAGAGAGTTGTGACTCACAAACCAGCTATCACAGCAGAAGACATAGACAAAATCCAAGGTTCGCTTGATTTGGATGATCCTGTAGTTCTTCAGAACACGGTATTTATTGATGTTATGTTGTATTTTTGCAACCGGGGGAGGGAGAATTTGCGTGAAATGACACCCGAAAGCTTTGAAATTTGTGAGGAATTAGGGGGAAAATGCTACATAACTCTGAAAGATACATTCACAAAAACAACCGTGCAGATAAACTAGAGAAAAGCGAAGGTGGTGTCATAAGTTGACTCTTTTTTCAGTATATAAAAGTTATAATGACTGCTTTAATATTGGAGGCATAGTTGTTTTTATACGCTCTCAGGGAGATTACATCGTGCTATTAACCTCGGCACGCCTCGGGGCAATAGCACGATGTAACCTCCCCTTGAGCGTATAAAAACAGCCATGTCTCTCATAGCAGTCATTATTACTATGTTATTTGTGATTGTTTGACGCACAAAAACAGCTATTGCCCGCGCTAAAGTGTTCGCTATGGTAATTTAGACGTAGCTGTCTAATAGCAGAATGCCCGCAGTTCTGACAAACCAGAATGCAAGAATCTTGATGCATTATTCTTTACCTTCTCTGAAACATGGCGTAGGTAAATTGTTCTTGTACATCTAATTAGTATAGATATATGATAATACAATATAAATGGTCCCATGCGTTTTCTTTTCATGTAAAACAGGTCTTGGATATTGTATGGTAAATATATGTTGTGCCATGACATTGCACTGCGTTGCTGGGGAGAATTACAACCTGCTTTTCAGCCTTGGTTTGACTGGATATGGCGCCGGAATGGTTCTTGTACCGCTCATAGCTGAATTCTTACGTCAAGCTTACGGTTGGAGAGGTGGACTGCTCATCATAAGCGCTCTGATGGCTAATATTATCCTAGTTGGCATGGCAATTCAATTGGAATCAGATGAGAGTAGCAGACAGAGAAATGGCTTTCAGAGTGTCCCGAGTTCGCCACCAGGGTTTAGCGAGGGAGAAGAAAGCAACATCAACACAAGTCGGGACACAGAAGGTAAGTTCAACCGGAAACTCTTAGTAGACCGATATTGTCGGTCTCGTGATCCTTCAAAAATATGTATGAAGGCCAAGAATACCAGCATGTCGGTTTTGTGGCTTTTTGGTCTCGTCGGCATTTGACCATGTAGACAGTTTGCTCGAAGATTCGATTAGACCTACATAATGTACATTGTCGGTCTCGTGGGCTGTTAGTGTCGTGTGGTAAGCCGGGACTGCTAAGAAGACTGGTACAAGTTATTAATCACAATACGTAACCTTGTCCGACTGAAACATAAATACTTTGGCTGCTTATTCATATGAGCCACCTCGGAAAGGGATAATTTTATGGACAGGGACGAGGGTTTCTAACGATGAAATGTTATGAGACCAGGAAACGTATGCCTTGGTCACAAATACCCTTACGGGCTGCTACAAACGCCGTACGAACGATTTTCAGACCATTTCGTAAGATCTTCTTAAGAAGGCCGTACGAAACAAGCGCTCGTAGACCGTTCGTAGACCGTTCGTAAGAACGCAGATTGGTCGATGGTCTTGTCCAAGATTTTTTTTAACATCGTACGAAACCCTCTCTACGTAAGGCGGCCGTACGAACGCCGTAATTACATCGTAAGAAACACGCAATATCTTCGTACATTTCGTAGGGTCGAGGGACAATTCTAGAAGCTTCAAATTTATTACGATGACCGTAAGAACGCCTCAAGTTGTTCATAGAGGGCTCTTACGAGCGGATATTCTTATGGTCTTCGTACGAATGACTCCTGGTGTTCGTAAGACGTTCGTAAGGTGCTCGTAAGGTGTACGTACACAATTTATGCAAATTTTGAGTTTTAACGATTATAAAGCCTCACTCTGTTCATAGTGTTCGTCGAGGGTGCATCTCCTGTCGAAGAAATATGGGACCAAAGGGGAAATCTGTTAGCGGGAAGAGAGGGTAGGGAAACAAACGTAAGGATAGAGATGAGGAGGAGAGCAGCAACAACAATATAAAGCAGAGGCGCCGGAAGTGGGGGGGGGGGGTGCGGAGGGGCAGGGGGGCATTCGCCCCCTCCCACCCCCTATACAAAAAACAGTAAAGGAGTAAAGATGGTTTGTATTTTTTAACCAAAAAGAACATAAAAAAGAACAAAACCTGAATTGAATCACATATAAATTATATTCCATTCAAAGAAAAGGAAAGTTAATAGGGATTAAATGTCGTATACATTCCGCTTGCTCCTACATTTTATCAATGGAGGTTTTTATAATATATGCGATTTGCGCATATCGTGGAAATATTGTAAGAGGATGGGAAAGTGTTTTTTTATTTATTATAGTGGTGAGAAGAGCCCCTGAGCCCCTGAACACTGGCGTACTAATGGGCGGGGGTATTTCTAATTCGATACCAGTGATTTACAAACGTTGCTGAAATGACATGATTTTCCGGTATTTTTTCTCAATTTTTTTGTAAATCATATCTTTTTATGCGTTTGATTGAAAATAACTAATTCCCAAATTAACAGCTGGGCATAACAATATGCTTATTTAGAAGCCTTCATGTCAGGGCCTGCAGAACGGCGGGGCTCGGGGCTCGAGCCCCCTCACTTAAAAAAAATTAAAAAAATGTGTGACCTACCAATGTCACAAATGAGATATCAAAATATGCTCATCTGACCGTAATTAGATGCCGAAAACCTTCGAGCTTCCAGGGGCTCTGCCCCCTGAACCACACCAAGGGCCCTAAGACAGCCCCCTGGATGCTCATCTGACCGTAATTGAAAACCTAAAACCCTAAGCTTCCGTGGGCTCTGCTCCCTGGAACCCCCGACAATTAGTGACCAGCCAGTGACACAAATAAGGTATTTAAATATGCTTATCTGACCGCAATTTAATGCCTAAAAACCATGAGCTTCCGGGGGCTTAGTCCCTTGACCCCCGCCGGTGCAAAGCCCCCGGACACCACGCCAATTTACGCTACGCTCGCTACACTCTAACCTGATCGTTAATACTCCACTTTGAAAAAATGTTCCGTGGGGCCTGCATGTAACATGTAGGCCTAGGAGTGGTGGTGATGCAAATTTTCCTTCTGCCCCCCCCCCTCCTCCAAACGATTTTGCTCATTACGCCACTGCCCCTGGAAGGTGACCCCCTGGAATTTTTGCCACCCCAATCCCAAACTGCTTTCGGCGCGCCTGATATCAAGAAATGATGGCCATATCGGAAGCGACCGGGAGGAGGCGGTGGAAGATGACGACGACGAGGAGGAGGGAGAACCATCAAGACGGCAGTTTGACGGCGATGAAGATGAGGTAACGGAGAAACTAAGAAAGGAGAAGTAGTCCTATGACTTTGATGCCACCACAGAGCAAAAACTTGTTGACTTCTTCGGTTAACATGACTGCTTTTATAATAAAGGAAGTAACAAATATGCTAGCAAGTTCAAGAAAAACTTTATGGAGTTGCAGTTGCGGTTGTAGTCTTCTTGGCAATACTGTCATCGTGTAATATCAAACTTTCAACAGTCATAGAATTTTCGACAGTATACGGCAGCGCTTTTTTTGCAACCCGACCAAATAGGAAAACAAATCGTAAGATCTTCTTACGAATGACTTGTGAATGCCGTGAGTTAAACGTACGACCACCTTGCGAGAACAGAAACTCGTAAGATTGGCGTAAGTCTGACGTAAGAAGAACACAAGGCGTTCTTACGAAAAACGTACGAACTCTGGGGCCATTGTATAACCGAAAATCTTCGTTTCTCAAGAAGGTCTTGAGTTGTTCTTGCGAATTTAACGACGTTCGTACGAACTCCGTAAGAAGGACGTAAGAAACTACGCCCCATCTGCGAATCTCTACGAACTCTGAAACGAGGGAGAACGAGGGAGATTCGTACGAACTAATCGTTCGTACGAACATTTGTGACCGTAGCATTACTTTATACAGCTCAATGACCATACTCTTGAAATAATACAATGGCTTTCAGATGTAATATTTCATTTGTAATAATAATAATAATATTCGATATTTATATAGCGCACATATACACCCTGCAAGGTGCTCGAAGCGCTCCAATATTACCCGGCTCTGCTAGGCTACCGATTTCGGTGCTCACAGCATTCAAGGAATTCCTTCGTAATTGTCCCCATTTACGTCACCTCGGTGGAGTGTGAAAAATGTAGATCAATATCTTGCCAGAGGTCTTTAGTGCCGCGGCGGGATTCGAACCGTGGACCTTGTGATCGACAGTCCGGCGACGTATCCACTCGTTCATGACACCAATTATCATGAAATTAATGAGAGACCTTCATGTACCATATGTAAATGGTAATATCATACGAAATATATTTTAACAGTAAACTGTTTCTAATGAACTTTACATTTAACTCTTCTTTAAAGATGACGACAGAGACGTCAGCGGAGTTTTTCGCAGGATCACCAACAGTCTACGCCAATCTGATTTTTACGTGGATCCTGTGTTCAATGTGTTATTTGGTGTAACTTTGGCGTCGCATATGGTTTGGAGTGGTTGGCACTCCTTTCTTGTACCGCATGCTCTGCAGAGAGGGATCTCTGTCCGGAACACCATTATCATCACCTTTTCAGCTGCAATAGGGAATACCTTCAGCAGGGTTGCTGTTGGTTTCCTTACCAACAGCCTCGTCAAACCTGTCACTCTCTATCTCATCGCTACAATCCTGAACATCGCCGCTCTTCTTTGCGATGTGTATTTCGTCGACTACTACGCCATGTTGGTGACGACATGTATCTCCGCGATAGCAGTAGGAGGGAAGGCGGTGCTGGGACAGCTGGTCATTAGGGGTAGAGCGTCTTCCGAAAAGTTTGATGTCGCGTATGCAGTCGATCAACTTTTTATCGGATTCGGGATGTTTCTTGGAGGCTATTTGGGTGGTAAGGAGTCACCTAAAACCCATATGTAAATGAGCAATTAAAATGTATATATTTTTTATTAATTACAATTTCAAAAAAATATCCTTTTAAAATAGCTTGAATTGAGTAAATAGGATTTTAAAGCTTGTTTTCATGCTGTTTCAAGAGATGTTAAAATCAAATTTACAACCTTGATCACAGCCAAAAGAATGAATTGATAAGAGTAATTTTAAAAAAGCACTCTCCCCGTGGTTCTAATCGTTGTTTTGGAATGCAATTAATGAAACACGATTATGAACTGAATAGTTCTAGCTGCTTCCAAAACCCTATAACAGCCTTTATCGAGGTGTTTATTCAATATTCAACCATAACATAATTTCACAAACAATTTAGAAAAACAATGAAACATAAATGATACACAAAATATTTGTGCAGGTATCATCGAATACTTATACACAACTCGCGGTCATAGGTAAAAGGGGACAAAATTCGCAGTTAACTTTTTATTTTGTACTTTCAGATGTTCCTTTATTTTTAGTCTGTGAGTCATTTCTCCAAATATATCAAATTCGAATCTCTATTATCATACACATACTTATTACGAAAACTAATAATTTGATAAATAGACCAAAATGCTATCGTCATTTATATACCTCACTTCACTTCGATCTAGGGGTGTTCGCAACAAATTATAAAAAGTGTTTATTATGATTGTTACAATTGGGCTATTGCCCTTGGCACGCCTTGGGCAATAGCACAATTCTAACCTTCCCTTGAGCGTATAAAAACAACTATTTCTCTCAAAGCAGTCATTAATACTATACTATCTCCCTTTCAAGATCAATAGCATGTAAAAATAAGTCCAATAAGTATCCAATGAAGGTTCTGTTGGCCCTACATGGAATAGAAGCATGATTGAACAACATCATCATGTCCTTTGCACTTTAAACAAAGTTCATCTTATTGAAAACCACACTTGAACAGATTTTTCCGAAGCATATCATATGAAAGCTTGAAATTAGATTTACGTAGACGAAATTGCTTAATCCTAATCAAATTTCTGTTAAAAACAGAGGACCAGTAAACGTCCTTCTGCAAGACATGTTTCCAATACAAACAACATTTATTTATTTTAATTTGTTTAAAACTTATCATATTATACCACTGTATACTACTCAGATGACTAACATGCTTAAATGCTTTCCCAAATACAATGTGGGAATGATGAAATTATGATCTTTGAATCCTAAAGGTACCCTATATGCTTATCATTTATCCAGATTTTTGCAATAGATTTGTTTAGCTTTGACTTGACTATACAAACAGCTATACTGTTATTAGCTACAAGGGTAAGAGATAAAAGGACTGCACAACTCGATAGGTTTGAGGTACAGTTTCCTACCATTTACTGAGAGATAGAATGCATTTAAGCGTTTTTGGTTGCCATGAATATCAAGACCACTCACATTGGCGGCAGACATGTACCAGATATCAAACACAGACGACAGATACAATAGTGGCGATAGAGGGCAGCAGTTATAGGAGCTGTTTGCGGACAAAACAAAAATATCGGGGTTACTGATATATATGAATTGATATACATGTACATCAGTGTCTATTTATATCGAATAGTCATCATAAAATGAATATATTCTTTACACAATATCCGTCGTGAAAAGAATCCTCACAATCAAGTGACTGGTCTATCGCGAACCAATTCATTAAAGGTAAAACAAAGTTTTGGTATGGGTCATGAATTTGGTTCGAATGAACATATTGGAAACATATGCGATCCTACAATATTCAGTGATCGTTGTCGCGGTAGAAATCGAGACTAAAGTAATGAAATTGTAAATAATAAACTCTTTATATTGTCAAGCTCCCTCTCAAGGTCAAGCTATTAAGCTATCAAACAATGTTTTTTGACTAAAATCGACCAATTAGCTCTTCCCGTTTGAAAACTATATATCACAACTACATATTCTGACATTTTCATGCTCGCAGCTACCATTGTACGGCCGTGGATGCTATTTAATACTCATCAAAATTTACCGGGAACATCATTAAATTTGTTAATCCATTTTTTCTCGAAAGCAGCGTTTTAGGGGCTAGATTTTCTAGTGCTATTAAAACATCTACAGGGGCATCCAAATATATCAAAATTGTAAAGGATCACTATCCACCCAATTTTCAAAATTTCCCAAAACTTTGTATTAACTTTAAAGGGACGCATGCTATGTACAAATATATAGGATCGAATATAATGGATCGCTCTTCCTAAAGAAGAAGATTACTCCGCTAAAGATTTAATAGGATAACACAAGGAATGAACACTATGGTCATAATGTTGGAATAATCTTTTTCACCCCAATTTATGAAATGATTTTGACAATGATTTGTTCCTAATAGATACATTCTCAGGTTTTATTGAATAATAATTTATGAGTGTTTGTTTTGCGTGACTGCTAAAACATGTGTATGCTACTATGCTTATCAACTAGGGGACCTACGTCCTTAAGTCATAACTGACAGTAATGAGGATTAATGCCTCATAAAGGGCATGGGTTTCCTAGTTGATTAGTATCGTAGCACACACATGCAAAGCAAACACTCGCAAATTATTATTCAATACCATTTGAGAATGTATACTATTATTTAGATCTATAAGGAATAAATCATTGTCAAAATCATTCCATAAATTGGGGTAAAAATAATTATTCCACCTTTATGACCGAAAGTGTAATAAGAATAAATGACTGATCGAATGACTGTTACTTTAAGGGATTTATTCAGATCAACATGGTTTATTAAAATTGCCCTCATTGTATTTTTTCAGGCATGATTGCGGATCACTTCTCATCCTACAACGCAACGTTCACACTATTAGCTTTCATCGAGGTCGTCGTTCTCCTTCTAATCGTGGTCGTGAGATGCAGACCAAAAGCAAACCCCGTCTGACCGTGCTGTATTGGAAGCGTCTTAAATAATTGTATGTTTTATAGTGACAGGCGGAGGGTCAAAGTTAAATATCATGCTTAGTTTTTGAGTTACCGCACAAACTAAGCACACCTTGTTTATTCGAAAGACTTTATCATAATAAACAGTTTTTATAATTTGTTGCGAACACCCCTAGATTGGAGGGGGCGTCCCAAATAGCAGCCCTTTGGACAAAAAAGGGTATTTTGTTAATTAGTTGTTAAGGAAACCTTGAACCACCATACGTTTGGTCAGGCGCACCGGAAGCAGTTTGGGATGGGGGGGGGGGCAAACATTCCAGGGGGCTCACCTTCCAGGGGCAGTGACGTAATGAGAAAAAAAACTTTCGGAAGGGCGGGGGGGGTGGGCAGACGAAAAATCTGCATCACCACCATTCTTACACGTTACATGCATGTAACGCGGAACGTTTTTCAAAGTTGAGTATTAACGATCACGTAGAGCGTAAATTGGTGTAGGGTCCAGGGAATGAGCCTCGGCAGGGGGTCAAGGAGCTGAGCCCCCGGAAGCTCAGGGGTTTTAGGTATTTAATTACGGTTAGATGATCATCCAGGGGCCCTCTTTAAGGCCATTGACGTGTTCCCGGGGGCGGGGGAGAGCCCCCAGAAGCTCAGATGTTTTAATATTTAACTACGGTCAGATGAGCATCCAGGGGCCGCTTTAGGGCCCTTGGTGGGGTCCAAGGGGCAGAGCCCCCGGAAGCTCAGGGGTTTTAGGTGTTTAATTACGGTCAGATGAGCATACAGGGGCCCGCCTTAGGGCCCTTGGTGGGGTCCAGGTGCAGAGCCCCCGGAAGCTCATGGTTTTAAGGTATTTAATTACGGTCAGTTGAGCATCCAGGGGCCCGCCTTAGGGCCCTTGGTGGGTTCCAGGGGCAGAGCCCCCGGAAGCTCAGGGTTTTAAAGTATTTAATTACGGTCAGATGAGCATCTAGAGGCCCGCCTTATGGCCCTTGGTGTGGTAAAGGGGGCAGAGCCCCCGGAAGCTCTGGGGTTTTAGGTATTTATTTACGGTCAGATGAGCATTTTTTTAAAACCTTATTTGTGATATGGCAGGTCAATTCATGTTTTCTCTGTCTTTCTTTTCTTTTTATCTTTAACATACTTTTTTCAAAAAGTGAGGGGGGGGGGCCCGAGCCCAGCCACTTTGCAGACCATGACATAAAGGCTTCGAAGTAAGCGTATTTTTCGCCCGACTGTAATTTGGTTATTTTTTTATTTTCCAACAAACGCATAAAAAGGTATGACTTACCAAAAAATGGAGACAAAAAATACTGGAAAATCATGTCATAAAAGCAACATTTGTAATTTACTTGTATTGAATAAGAAGTACCCCCCCCCCCCCCCATCTGTACGCCAGCCTTTAGGGGCTCATTTTTTCTCAACCCTATAACAACAAAAAAACAGGCACGGTTTCCCATTCTCGCACAATATGTCCACGATATGCGCGTATCGCGATTATAAAGACCTCCATTAATACTGTATAGTTGGCATGCGCAATGTTTATGAAATTTAACTCCTGTGAACTTTCTTTTTCTTTGAATGGAATTGTATACGTGATTTAATTCAGGTTTTTATTATTGTTATGTTCTTTTGGGTTGAAATTAAAAACCATAATTACTCCTTTAATGCTTTTTTTTGGAGGGGGGGCGTTTTTTTTTTTGGGGGGGGGGAAATGCGTTTTGCCCCCCCCCCCCCCCCCCCCACTTCCGGCGCCTATGCCCCTATCTCAGTGTACGGGAGAAAGCATCAGTGTCTTGCTTTCGTTATTATCACAAATGTTAATAAAATAATTGTTGTCAACTTTGAACCAAGGTTCTTGACTTTTTGTAAATATTATGTTATATAATTCTTTATCTTTTATTTAGTATAAAACAAACCAAAGCTTTGTATTTAATCATATTTACCTTACATGTAGAATAAATATAGCTTAAGAATGCATTCAATAGTTATTCACATTTATTCATTACATTCTCAATCATTGCTGTGATACTTGTGTGTGTCAGTGGTACCAGACACGTTTAGCATTAAACGCTATTTTCTCGTCCCATTTATCCTTTCAATGTTAACCATCCACATTTGATTGTTATTGATATTGACTCAAGCTCAACGCATGTTCAGTCCCCTTCCTAACAAAAGGAATACACAAATTTTCATTGTGGAAAAAAAAAAAAATCATTTTTCAACATCTTAGTTAAAGAGATTGAAAGCTGAATAACATAATGCTGACTTGTTAAAGTGGTCAATGACTACCCAAGCTATTTTCTAAGTGGCATTACTATTAGCTGAATGAAAGTGTTATTATTTATAATTTCCACCCAATAATGTTTGTTCGAACTTTAATATGTCATTAGGCATTTATGTACCATACGAGGTCAACCGTAAACAGTTCATCACCTTATCTTAACTATGATCACGAAGATTCAGCACTCGCAGTAAAACAAAATGAATAAAACTGGGACAGTTGCCAGGAGAGACAACAGTCAAGATTTAATTTTCTTTTAAAGTATTTATTCCAACAAGGCCATGAGTGAAATTTATTGTACGATACGTTGTACTTCACTGCCATTGAGATGTCACCAATTGTGACTAAAGTGGAGCCTTTGAGTGAATTCAAGTATTTTAGAATGATGTTAGAACATTTTAGAATCAATAGAGGTGGCCATGTTTCCACATCTAGTACTAACTATTATTTATAAGACCCCAAAAGCATAACTTTGCTTTTTTTGCATGCGTGTGAAAATATCGGCTTATTTCAAAATATAGACCGTACAAAGTTTTTTGATATTCTTATGATTTTCATGAAGAAAGCCTACCTATATGTATAGTGCCTGTAAATCTTATGAAGGGAATAATTAGTATGTGGGTAAAATCGAGTGATCTTTAGAGATAAGCCCACTCAGGAGAACCGATACCTTAACAGTAACAAAAATACTATGCATGGGACTGTAGTGTAAAAAACTGGGCCAACAGTCATGTGACTAAAACCTGATGAAAACTTCACTGTTTAAACATAAAAATGTTTTAAAATGATAGCAATAAATTACCTTCATGTTCTGATCTTTCTTGCTTCTTCTTGGCCCTCTCAATCTTAGTTTTGTCGGTGAATCGCATGTAAACATGCGTGATTATAGCTGCAGTAGCAAGTACTGCACTCACTCATTCACTGTAGCAGACACTGCATGCATACAAAGACTCAGAGTACAGGGACTGTGGTTGGTCCATTGCACTCTGAGCTTTAAGACCCCAACTGTGATTGGTCAATTAAGGAACAGCTATGACATCTTTGCAGAATGGCTGTCTGCTACATTTTGCATCTTTATATCAAAATTGTGAAAAAATGTACAAATTTGGAGATGGGAACATTTCACCATTGTTCTTAGATATAATTATGTCCATTGATCATTTAGGACAAAATGAGGTACTTCCCAGGGGGAGACAACGGACCTGAAGAATTTTGAGGCTTGGCCCATGGTCTACTGGTGCGTGCCTCTTTTTTAGGTGTAAGAAGTGCCCCATTTTCCCATCTGATAATTAGGCTTTGTACTTTGACACGTGCTCCTTTTCTTTTCTAATAAGTGTCTTAACCCTTTCGATAAGTGCCCCCTTTTCCTCTCATCATTAAACGTAGTTGTTCCAGGGGTAGTCGTCCTAGAAGCTGTTCACACCGGCAGAGATAGCGCGGTCTAGCGCGCGCTAGACCGCGCTATCTCTGCGGTGTGGAAGGTACAACGTCGTTTCGGTCCGCCAAACAGCGAGCCACGGCGAGCCAAAACGGCTTGCCACTGGAACACCTCTTGGGGTGGCCCACGAGAGATAGCACGGTCTAGCGCGCTAGACCTCGCTATCTCTGCCGGTGTGAACCCGAGCTACGATAGCACGCCGGAAGTCATCGTTCTACACGCGGGGAATTTTATACTCATTCTATTTTGGTGCGATCTGAATCGGTACAACTCAACACTCCTCATTTTATGGAGTAAAACGCGTCGGAACATCGTGAAAAAAGAAATATATAGTAAGTAATGTTGGACCTGACTTTACTAAACGTACTTTTTTCGCTGTTTTTCGTGGGTTAGCAGGTTAACTACGGGTTCGTAATAGCGCCCGAAATCTTTGACCGCTCTGACCTCATGGCGGCACGCGTCATGGCAACAGGACCTCTGAAAAAAGGGAGTGCTACGATAGACCGCGCTATCTCACTGCGGTGTGAATCCGGCGAAAGCCAATGTGCGGACCGTGGGTCGCGCTACGATAGCGCGATCCACGGTCCGCCCACGGTCCCCCTTGCGGTGTGAACAGCCTCCTAGAGGGTGGTTTCCCTACAGGGTACTTGTCCAAGGGGGTACTTGTCTGGGGGGGGGTACTTGTCCCGTCGGTATTCGTCCTAGAGGGTGGTAGCCCTAAAGGGTAGTTGTCCTAGGGGGTAGTTGCCCTAGGGGGTAGTTGACTGGGGGTGGTTATCCGGGGTGGATGTCCAAGGGGTAGGAGTCCTAGAACCTAAAAGGGGTATATTCCAATGTCTAAAAACTTTTTCGCTATGAGATTTCCCTTTAAAGGTGCCCTTTTTTTCCAGAAAGTGCCCTGTTTTTTGGGTGCCCCCCTCCCCCCCCCCCCCAATTTGGAAGTCGCTCCGCCGCCTCTGGTCCTGGTGACACGCAAGGAAGCGTTCTCCAAAGGTTTGTGACATGAAACCAATTTTTCCCAATTTAATTTGCTACCCATCAGATCCCGGATTCACTTCAGTACACTTTTCCCGATCTTTAAATGCATCAAGTTAAGTTCCTCCCTAACTATCAGAACTCGTGCCTTTCAGCAATCCATCAAAGTACTCCCCCAGCTCCTGCATATCATGTTTCAGTTGAACTATCTCCAAAAACGCTTCCAACACTCGGTGACTGAGTTTCCAAAATTGCTTCTCCCGATCGAGCGGCAGAATAATATACCCAGATTTCTCCGTCGCCAGCAATCACTCAACACCTTAAAATTACCTAAACCGCACCTCTTTTCTTTTATGCTCCCCTAACTCCAGCAGTGAGGAAGTTGATTATTGTAAGCGTATCATCACAAGTACATCATACAAGATGCTTTTAGACATAATTTGGCAAGGATTATAGTGGCCGTAGTATGAATATTTGAGCATATTGCTCCGGTTGTCTCATTTTCGCTCGCTGGACCATTGCCAGCACAAACGTAGCTAGTTCGACGTCACTACCAAACAAGAATGTTTCACTATGTTGCAGGGCCATTGGGTATGATGTGTGAACCGAGTGTGCGGAAATGGTGTGTTGGGGAGGGGAAGTGAGAGTGTTCGTGTGTGTGGTAATTGTATGTGTGTCAACAATTAAAGACTAATAAATGACAGATGGCTAATCATAAATCTACAATGACGAGTAAACTGTCTACATCACAGTCCACATATAAATGTGCCTTGAACGTATAGCAGACGGCAATCGGCGGATCAGATGACACTTGATAGTGATTTTGAAAGTGAGATTGCTTTGCTAAATACAAAATACAAGAACCTTTTCCATATCTCTAAACTATCATTGGTATCTGATAATTAAACAGTTAGTAAAATAAACCTACCAAACTACATAATACAATGAAATACTTGACTGAAAGTAGGGGAGTTTGATGTGGTGCACAATTGCACCCTCTGTAAATAATCGAATAGTCCATGGCGTGTCATGAATATTCATGTTTGGCTTAACTCGGCAAAATGAATTTTTAACGATTTTGGGGGTAAAAGTCCATAGGCTAACATGTTAGGCTGCTGGACTCTGACGATAGGGGGCGTTGTCCAATGAGACTATTCGGAGCCATATGATTTAGATTCTCACCTGGAAAATTGCCAAATACACCGAAGAGACCAATAGCAATTCCGATATCCGTCGATGTCGTTCAAAGACTATTGCTGATGTATTTCAAGTAAAATCCAATAGTCTTGATAACACCTACATCACTGGATGCCCTCAAAAAGGTACACAACACCAAAGGTAAATTTGGAGAGGTTAAAATCTCATGACACCGCCCCATTATAGCCTTTAATAGCTTAGACAGATACAGAGATTTGATTGGTCCAGAGCTCGTCACGTGATATCAATTATGTGGATCCAAATTGTTAAATTTTCCTGGCCGGTCACTTTTCGGCGTTATACCAGCTGGTGAAATGAATATGTTTTTAATCAATGCATGTTGCCCTCTTGAGGACTGGATGTCACCAATTACACTAATTACACCATTTATACCGAGGGTCATTTTCAATTCAAGTTTTTTTTCCCCAATTTTTTTTTTTAAAGAATCTCTTTTTTTAAAGAATTTCTTTTTTTAAGGTTTTTTTTTTCTTTATTGAATTATCTCTAAATATTATTTTTCACTAAACTTCTTTTTCTTAAATTTTGATTGTCACCGAAAAAAAAAATCAAACCAAGGCTATCTAATATAACAGTTATTGACTGGCAGGGGGTATATAACATTCTTTGGACCTGAAGGGAGTTATATTTTCCCTCAGCGCTGCGCGCTTTAGAAAAATATAACCACTTGGGAAATATAACTCCCTTCAGCAGTCCAAATAATGTTATATTACACCCCTGCCAGTCAATAACTGTATAATATTAGATAGCTTTAAGATACCGCGATGTGATTGGTCCAGAGCTCGTCACGTGATATCAATTGTAAGGATCCAAAATGTTATATTTTCCTGGCCATTCACTTCTCAATGTTATATTAACCAGCTGGGGAAATGAATATATTTTTAATCAATGCAATGTCGCCCTTTTGAAGACTGTTTGTCATCAATTACACACATTACACAATTACCGAGTGTCCTTTTTTCATAAATCTTTTATTCCCCTTGAAATTATTTTTTCCCAAATTTTAATTTTTCCCAAAAAATTCTTTTTTGGGCAAGAATTATTATAATTTTTTTTTTCTCCCTTGAAATTAGTTTTTCCAAATTTTGTTTAAAAGTTTGTTTTTTTATTTTTTTATTGAATTATCTTTTTGCAATTGTTTTTCTTAAATTTTGGTTGTCCTAGAAAAAAAAATTTCGGGCATAAACAAAATATGGACACCCCCCCCCCCCCTAAAAAAAATGAAAATCAAACAAAGGCTATCTTATATAACAGTTATTGACTGGCAGGGGGTATATAACCTGAGCATACCTGATCAACTCTGTTTCAAAATACAACCCCACACGAAGTCTTCGCTCCTCATCAGCCACACTATTACTTAATACACCCAGAATAAAACATGCTTGGGGGGAACGGGCTTTCTCAGCCATGGGTCCAAAACTGTGGAATAAGCTCCCTCTATAATAACGTCAACTGTCATCGACAGAAGCATTCAAATTACAACTAAAAACCTATTTGTTTCTTTCGTTGTAATTATTGCAATATTCTAATTTACTATGTCTAGGAGAATTCCGAATTTGTTTTTCGGTTTATGGTTTTTTCTTTCTTATGCCTGTTACATGTACTCTTTTCTAAGCGCCATGAGCACCGAAAGATGGACCTGTGCGCTATACAAGTAGCCAACATTATTATATTATAACATTAACCTGAAGGGAGTTATATTTTCCCTCGTGACCATATTTTCCCTCAGCGCTGCGCGCTTTGGGAAAATATAACCACTTGGGAAATATAACCCCCTTCAGCGGTCCAAATAATGTTATATTACACCCCAGTCAATAACTGTATAATACATACAACAAAATTCGTACTTCACTTCTGTAAACAGAGTCACATACACGACACGTACAATAAACGTGCAGAATATTAAATGACCTCAAGAAATATCAGTATCCCATTGTTCTGTAGGAGCTCCAAACGTCTATGTACGGTTGAACACTTTTGAGTGAATACAAGTTATGTACTTTGCTCCCTCGCATAATACCCTTCAAAATGTACAAGGAAATGTTGTAAAAAATCTGCATTCCGTTAGTATCACCGTGATCACTGGCTGCACCCCTGGGCCCCACTAGGTGCCCTCGGGTGACTGGGTATTAATCTCATTTTTTTTTATGTAATAAAGAATATTTCTCTAGATCATAAATTCCAACTATCGAGGTTTGTTGTTTGCTGAAAAGGGGAAATGACTTCTTTTCACGCAAAACTGTTCAATCGGACAACTATGCAAATTGAATAAGAAGGTTTGTAAAAAACACGTCGAAGCGCATTATGACGCACATAAACTTAGGCTTGTCGACAAACCTCCTTAGTGAATTCGGGCCACGGAGTTATATCAATATTACTCTCGTCTATTTTACATGTCGTATATGTTACCCAGCAATACAGAAGTGAAACACGAATTTATATTTTGTTTATCATTTCATCATAGCCTACCATGGGTCGTGTTCATGATATTTTAACTTCTCCCAGTTTACCTTTGGTGGTGTGTACCTTCTTAAGGACATCCGGTACTGTGGGTATTATGAAGACCATTGGAATTTACTTGGAAGATATCAACAAAAGTCTTGGAACGACATCGACGGATCTCGGAATTGCTCTTGGTCTCCTCAATGCATTCTGCCACTTACCAGGTGAGAATCTAAATCTCAACTATTCCTTCTGCGACCACTCCAATCCTTTTCCAAATTATCTCTAAAATCGTCATGCACGTTGAACTTTTGATGATTCAATCAACTACCTCACAGCTGGAGTTAGGGGATCGTTTATCAAGAGTTTTGAGCGATTTAGATAGTGGATCACTACAATAAACGTAGGACAATATCGTTAAACATAGTAAGACAAGATAGTTTGATGACTGTGTGAGGGACAAGAGTAGGTAGTAGCATGAAACAATAACGTAAACTTTGTGGCCCGAATTCACAAAGCAAGGTTTGAGCTCAGACCAAGGTTTGACCTCAAACCTCCTTTTGTTTCGCCAAACCTCCTTTTGTTATTTACAAACCATTTACAAACCAGGTTTGTAAATAACAAAGGGAGGTTTGGCGAAACAAAAGGAGGTTTGAGCTCAAACCTTGCTTTGTGAATTCGGGCCTGTATGCCTACGATTGTGTACGTTGACATTGGCATGTGCGTAAATCAACGGGACTACACTCCCATGCGTCAGTATTACCTCTTTTTAAAAAAATAGTTATATAGTTAATTCGTTGCCCGACTTTTCTCAAAATTTAAATTTTTCAGATATACATAGGTTTAATAAATCATATTAATGTGCAATTAAAGAAACTGTGTCCCTTTTGCAGCCAACATCAAATGCTGTAGAACTTTGCAGGAATTATGAATATGTCATGTACAAAAATGTTTAAGAGAGGTATATACTTGCTTCATCAAATTATTACTCCTCAAGGTCTTCGTAAAACCTTCCAGTCATTGAAGAACGAATTCGATATTGATCACAATGATTTATTTTTTAGAATTCCATGTTGACTCTTTAGTGATGTCAAAAAGCGTGAAGAATTTAATATACTGTAGAAATGTTCAATGAAGAATTAAAAAAAAAAAAAAAAGAGAAAATCATTATTCCTGAATGTATTCGACTGTTACCGGTTCTTAAGAGCAAACATATTTGACAAGATACTAATAAATGACAAAAATGAAAGACCAGCAAGTATTTTTCGATAGCAAAATAGATTTGGTATGTCCCAACAAGAAATATGCAAAGCACGCCAATTAATAGTTTAAACTTAAATAGATACAAAAACAAGAGAATTTCAGTTCAACGTATTAACTTATATTTTGGCAATGAACTATAACTACAATGTATATCAAATGAAATTGGTATTGTCCCCTGTATGCTCGTTAGAATGCTCTGAATATGAAACAGTATAACACATTATGTGGACCTGTAAAGTCACACAAATATTTGGGAACGATGTAAAGTCGTTCCTTGATGTCATTGATTTCTCTTTCCTCGATGACAAGACGGTGATAAAAGGGTTTTTTAGAAAAGTGTACAAACGAAATGCTTTTGAATCACATTTTAGTTATAGCTAAGAAATTGAAATATATATATAAGCAAATGTCATAGCACATACCCTAGTATATCTTTATTAAAAGTGTTTTAGCAAGATCATACAACGAAGAGTTATATATATATAGCAAAAACATAAAAAAGTAAATGTACATGTCAAGAAGTGGGGTCCACTCGCTACAGTAATTAAATACTATATAACCCCTCAAAATTAATGAATTCAAACGAACATTTTTCAGGTGTATTGTTTTCATTCATGAAAATTTCCTTTTCTTTCCTTCCGCACTAGTTCGTGTTGTGAGCATAGTCCACTGCCTCGGCTGTTGAGGTCTTAAAGTGTAACACGGTGCCTAAGCTGCTGAAAAAATGAGTCGTTGCGCACAGCGCGCCCCTTTGCATAATAATACATCTAGCTACATGTATGCTGCTCGCTTGAGCTAACTACATTGTAGCTGGTCGCAGCAATGTTTCGCCGAATTTGTATTCAAAAATAATATGTACAAGGGGAGGCAACAACAAAAAAGGACGCTTTCTGGGGGAAAGGGGCACTGCCACCGATAATAGGCAACACAAAACCACGACAATCTGATTCGCCACCAAAGACAAGCATTACACATCCCAAATCCGCCACAATAACTCCCAAAACATAACAGTCAGGATGCTAATGTCTACGTGTCAAGATTTCTGCGATAACGAACACTTTATTAACTAGTCTTGGCTCCAAGCGCACGCAGGCGCGTCACACCTCCCTCCTTAAAACAGAAAGCTATGTTTCCTTTCACAATCTTTTTTTGATATGCTCAATGGTATTTTGTTTTTGCTCATAGCTGTCCTAAATAATCGATAATAATATTATTGTAATAATTATATTGTGTAAACGTATATTCATTTGATGATAACTATTTGATGTATTTTAGACACTGTATATCAATTACAATACTGAGCCCGAGAGTGTTCTTGTCTGCATACAGCTCCTTTCCTTGCTGCCCTCTATCGTCACCATTCGACTCGTCGTCTGCTCCTGATATCTGGTACATGTCTCCCTCCAATAGGCGTGGCTTTGACATCCATGGCAACCAGCAACGCCCAAATGGCAATTTATCCGTCAATTACCGGTAAGAAACTGTGCACCAAACCTACTAACAATGTTGAAAGACCTTTCTTTGTTTAAACCTTACAGTTGATTACATTATAGTTTTTCGTAAACAGTTAGAAGGGGGGGGGGTTAAATTAACTTACTCTCATCAAATCACTCATTTGAAGATAATAATAAAGGACGTTTGTGAGCCATTATTTTAACTGTGTTGATGTCAGAATAATAAAGAGAAAATCGCAGTTAAATGTAGCACATCATGATTTTACTTCACTTCCGTCTGGCTGAATGTATAATCTATCGCCTCACTCTAAACCCCGCGCATGTTTTTATTTTGATGACAAATGCAGCGATACAAAAATAAAGGAATCTGTCGCTTGTAAACAAAATAAGACGCCATATTCATCTGCACACACCGCGGTAGGTTCGGCGTTTCAAGGGGGAACAAATTCCATCCTAAATATCATTCCGTTTTCAATTTGAAAGTCTAGTTTCTTTGATTGTTAATTAGCCCCTATCCTGTGTATTTACAAACAAATGATTTTAGTTATCAGAATAGGTTTCATATCCCCTTTTGAATGATTTGAAATGCCATCACATTTATATACACTAAACTCATTATAATTTGAGAAATAATAGCTTTGCAGTTATGTTCATTCTTTTTGGGATGTCGTCTGCTAGAGCAGTATTGGTGCATTATGTGACGTCATTAAAACGTCGTTATTTTTATGGCGAATCTCTCGTATATCCCAGATGCTATGGAGGTGGTTTTATTTGTATTTTTATAAATCACCCGATGTAGTTGACCTAAAACTTTTACGATGGCCATCTGTTAACTTACTAGTTTCTAGTGATACATTAGTCGAAATATTTGTGATTTTCTTTGAATATCCACTTAAAAATAATCATGAAGCAGGTTATTCAGTTTTTGAAAAGCAAATTCTGTAATGCGTTTATATTAAAAATTGTTTTACATTCAATGAATTATGGGTTTGTTGGGGCTAAATCCTGGGAGCCAGCATATACGCAAAGCGATTTTTTGTATTCTTTCAGAACATAACATTTTTCAAATGGGTGAGGTGGGGGGGGGGCTGGGGTTCAGCGTCCATTTTGAGGAGCTAAAGCAGATTTAAAATCTGCCTCTTTTTTGCCATTTTTGTGTGCGCGCTTATTATAATTGAATGGTCAAAAGGATCTAGCAGTAAGTTCGAATTGTTGCGAATAGGATCAGGAACCCAAATCATGTTTAAGAAACCCCGATGTTTTAGTTTTGATTGGGCTGACGGGAGTAAAAACACTCTCTCTCGTATACACGTGTGTGCGATATTCATAACAATAGTCAAAGTTTGCGCGGGGATGTCGGGGAGACGTACATGTACGTGCTCATGAAATATGTTAATATACTGCGCAACAACTTGAATTGTCTTGATATGAATTATGGAAGTGTTATGATTAGAGATATGCAAAATTCAAACAATGGCGCCTAAATAACGGCACGTTATGCAAATGATCTTGAACATGTTCGTGTGTCCAGTTCTTAATAGGTGCCAGTTTAAAAAAAAAATGCAAATGCAATTCTTTAGATATCTGTTTTAAAAAAACACACACAAAAAAAACACAGGTCTGACGAATATAAGAGATGATATGTACTTTCGTGCATACTATTAATACCCAATATGCACTAAAACGATAATGAAAATATTAATGATCATGATGATGTTAAGGCTTAAATTATAATTCTCCTCCTCCTCATCTAGTCCACTCCAAATTTTATTAAACCGAAACGGAAATTCTTTTTGCCCAATTGATCGTGAGCCCGGCAGCCACTGAGCAGCGCCAGATCGACGTTGCTCTATCCCTTATTGTTGAACGCCAAACAAGGTAGCAACAACTCCCATTTTTTAACGTTTGACGCACAAAAGAAACGATTTCCCGCGCTGAAGTGTTTGTTATTGCCTGGTAATTTATACGTAACGGTCCAATAGCGAAAAAGCCCGCACTTCTGCCTATTAACCAGAAAGCAAGAATCTTGAATTTAAGATAATATAATGCTTTTCAAACTTAAAGAATGATTTCATACAATTTGTTATCAGTTATATATACATTTATATTTTTAATGTTATTAAAGAGTGTCCATTCAATTGCTTTAATACTAGATTACATGCATTAATTGTTCATATTATTCAGTAATTTACTCTCCTGTAATTTTAGTTGGTGTTGTAAATATGTATATAACAATTAAAATATCAAAGTATATGTTGCCCTTTTTCAAGGTCTTATACTTACTGAAATTTGCTAATAGTTACTTTACATCGGATTTAAAAACTAATTACTGTCTATCCTATAATGCTAAATTAAAATATTATTTGCAACAACGTTTTCTTGAACAAAAAAAGCAAAGCAAAACAAAACAAACACAAAATTATGTTTATATTGCGAGGATACCAAATACTCTGTTTATATGTTTATACATGTCCTTACCTATTGTTTATTGCTGTTATGAATTTATGTTCAAGATTTTGTTATCAATTATATTTATATAATATTGACTGGCCTTGAGGGGTATATCAGAAATATTGACCAAGCTCAGATCATATTGCCCCGAGTCGAAAGACGAGGGCAATATGGTCTTAGCGCGGTCAATATTTCTGATATCCCCCGAAAGTAAAGCCAGTCAATATTTGTATTGTTATCCAAATCAGACATCTAGAGCAAATACAGAAATCCACCATGACAATCTCAAGAACTGAACAAACTTTGTCAAACCAGCACTGTGCATCCAGTACTTGACAAAATTTTCGATACACTGCAAACAGTGTGCATTTGGTGTGATTATTACGTCACAATAGAGTGCGCAGGTTCTCGTACGCATAATGGGCCGTATGCATAAAAAGTAGCAATTGCTTGTGCTAGCCTTTTACTTGAATCCGTATGCATAAACATAAGCAATTGCTTGCAAGCAAATGCTTTTGCTAGCAAGCACAAGCAATTGCTTGATGTCCGCAAGCAATTGCTTAAAGATCAAGCAATTGCTTAAAAACGTATGCATAAAACGAACCTTTTGCTTGTTTTTATAAGCAATTGCTTACGTTTTTTCAAGCTCCGTCATAGCAGCTTGAGCTCTTGCTTAATCGGGACGTTCGCGGTTAAGCATCATGTTTATGCTCGTTAGAGAAAGACCAAAGTTGTACAGGAGTAGAATAAATCGAGAAGAAATTGCTCCCGAGACCTATCGGAAACTATTCCGTTTCGACAAAGAGAACGTTGAGTGATTAGCACACAGGTTCATACCTGAACATGATGAAAAACGGGGAGGATGTCTGACAACGGTGGAGAGCATGGAGGCCACGCTCATTTGAATATACTACTAGTATGCGAAACCCGCCTTTGTTCTCCCATGATTGATGTTCGCACCGGCGTGACGTCGCTATTGTTGAGATCGTAGGCAATTGCTTGCTGGAGGCAAGCAAAAGGTTTGAGCACAAGCAAAATGTTATGCATACGGATTTAAGCAATTGCTTGAGCTTGATCTTTTGCTTGACAAGCAATTGCTTGTGCTTGAAGCAATTGCTTGCAAGCAATTGCTACTTTTTATGCATACGGCCCAATAGATGCGCAATGAAAATGACAAAATACGGCGCGGTCAATACAAGATACCCGGATATGCGAGACCGTGGAAAATACCAAGGTATATTTTCACTCGTCTCTACACGCAAAGTCAATACGCGCAGGGAGACCAAGGAAAATACAAAGAATATACCCCTCCGTTCCCACTGCTAGTGAAAACTAGGGCAATACGGTTTTGTAAATGACCAGCTCAGATGTCTGATACGGGTAATAATATTATATATATATTTGTTAAACTATAATGTACCTCATTATGTTTAACAGGGCTTCATAAAAGACTACCATTATTGATGATAATGAGCCACCTCGTCTAAATATCAGAAATAAAAAACAAATCAATAAATCAATACATTATTATATACCTTCTCTAAAACGTGGAGTAGGACATTTTTTCTTGTACATTTTTGCAATATATTTGGATATGATGATTAAATGTAAATGGCCCCATCTCTTTTCTTTTCAATAAACAGGTCTTGGATATTGTATGGTTAATATATGTTGTATCATGACATTGCACCGTGTTGCTAAGGAGAATTACAACCTACTTTTCAGCCTTGGTTTGACTGGATATGGTGCCGGAATGGTTCTGTTACCGCTCTTAGCTGAATTCTTACGTCAAGCATACGGTTGGAGAGGTGGACTGCTCATCATAAGCGCTCTGATGGCACATATTATCCCAGTTGGCATGGCAATTAAGTTGGAATTAGATGAGAGTAGCACACAGAGAAATGGTTTTCAGAGTGTCCCAAGTTCTCTTAAGGGAGAAGAATGCAACACCAGCACAAGTCAGGACATAACAGGTTAGTTCAATCGGAAAATCCTATTAGAGCGACAATGTCGGTCTCGTGGACCTTCAACAGGGCCAAAAAGACCAGTATGTCGGTTTTGTGGCCATTTGGTCTCGTCGGCATTTAACCATGTCGACAGGTTGCTCGAAGATTCGATAGACCTACATTGTCGGTCTCGTGGGCTGTTAGTCTCGTGTGCTCTTGCCGGGACTGGTTAGTCTACGAAGACTGGTATAAATTATAAATCATTGTCGACAATACGTAACCTTGTCCGACTTTAACATACATGCTTTGATGCTAATTAATATGCGCCATCTCGGAAACAGATCATTTTATGGACATGGACGAGGGTTTTGCCCCGCCTACTAACGATGAAATGTGATGAGATCAGGAAACTTACTATATACATCACAATAACCATACAAAGGTCTAACTCTTGAGATGATATTATGACCTTCGACCAGAGAAGGGAATTGTAGATTTGATGTTCATGTTTTTTATTATTTCATTTGTAATAATCATTATCATAAAATTAATGAGAGACCTACACATAACATGTGTAGTGTGCGATGTACAAGGTTATATCGTTCCAAATGTGTTTTGGACATTAAACCTCTTTTTTATGGCCTTTTTAATTAACTCTTCTTTAAAGATGAAAACAGAGACGACAGCGGAATTTTTCGTAGGATCACCAACAGTCTTCGCCAATCTGATGTGTACGTGGATCCTATATTTATTTTGGTATATGGTGTTACCTTGGCGTCGCATATAGTTTGGAGTGGTTGGCACTCCTTTCTTGTACCTTATGCTCTGCAGAGGGGAATCTCGGTCCGGAACACCATTATCATCACTTTCTCAGCTGCAATAGGGAATGCCTTAAGCAGGGTTGCTGTTGGTTCCCTTACCAACAGCCTCGTCAAACCTGTCGACCTCTTTCTCCTCGCTACAATCTTGGACATCGCCGCTCTTCTGTGCAATGTGTATTTCGTCAACTACTACGCTATGTTGGTGACTACATGTATCTCCTCCGTGGCAATAGCAGGGAAGGCGGTGTTGAGTCAGCTGATCGTGAGGGATAGAGCGTCTTCCCAAAAGTATGATGTCGCGTTTGCAGTCGACCAATTTTTTATCGGATTCGGGATGATTCTTGGTGGCTATTTGAGTGGTAAGGAATCACCAACAACCTAAAATGTAAATTAGCCATTAAAATATCTTTTTGTGTAAGCAATCACAATATAAACAAATATTCTTTTAAATTAGCTTGAATTGAATAAAAATAGATTTTTTGTTTGTTTTCAGGTTGTTTTCAGAAAGGATGAAATCTGATTTACAACCTTCATTAGAGCGAAAAGATTGATTTGATAAGATTTATTCCAAATATTTATTCTCCCCGAGATTCTAACAGTTGATTTTGAATGATATTAATTAAACACGAGCATGAACTGAATTGTTCTACATGTAACTGCTTACAACAACTTATAATGTTGTTAATTGCAAGGTAAACAGAAAAAGGCATATCAAATTTAGTATGTTTGAGGTACGGTTCCCTACCGGTTACTAAAAGCTCGTTTGCGTTGCTGGCTGCCATGGATATCAAAGCCACGCCCATTGGCGGGAAACCTGTGCTATATATCAAACGCAGACGAGAAAGAGAATGGCGGCGATAGAGGGCAGCAGTAAAGAGAGCTGTGCGCAGACAAAAATAAAATTGGGGTTATAAAAATGATGTACATTAGTGTCTATTTATATTTAAATAGATTGGATTGAATTATGGATCTTCCTAAAGAAGATGGGTTATAAAAATGATGTACATTAGTGTCTATTTATATTTAAATAGATTGGATTGAATTATGGATCTTCCTAAAGAAGATGGGGACTCCACTGTGGATTTAATGAGCTAACACAATGAATTAAATAAGAACAAACTAGTGACTGATCGAATGACTGTAATTTAACGGATTTATGTATGTATTCAGATCAACATGAAGTATTCAAAATGCTCTCTTTGTTTTTTCAGGGATGACTGCGGATCACTTCTCCTCCTACAACGCAACGTTTAAACTATTAGCTTTCATCGACGTCATCGTTCTCCTCCTAATAGTGGTCGTGAGATGCAGACCGAAAGCAATCCCGGTCTGAACATGCTGTATTGGAAGCGTCTTACATTATTATATCTTTTATAGTGAGGTCTAAAAGCGAGTTCAGGATTTGGCTTCTGTTTACATTATTAGCAAAATATTTTTTAACAAACCATTTCTTTTCCTTTTTCATAAAAGTATTTGGAGCATATTAGGTACCGGAAGCGTTAAGGCTTTTGCAACTTTTTTGTATTTAAACAAATATTTTTTTACAAACTTTGTTGGGCATGAAGATATTTGGAGCATATCAATAGAAAAAAGGGTAATCAACTGAATCATACTTGAAGATAAGGTGTGGTTCATACTTCATTGACTTATTTCTTATCATTTGACATGTAATTTATATGTATGTTTTTAAAACTTGTATGTAAGGGTTTCGGTAAATAAAAACAAACAAACAAACATGAAATAATGCATGACATTCTAATAAGTTTATTTATTGGTTTAATTATACATATTTGAAGAAATAAATGAGAGCTATATGCTATCTCAAACATGGACTACCTGAGTCAAACGTGTAGCACTGCTTGGTGTAATACGAGTTTGGGTTTTTATAATCTGGAATATACCGAGTACAGAGTTTAGTCGAAGAAATTCATTAACAGTATCATCATCCTTCAATAAGACAATATTAAAATCCCCAATTATATCAATATGCCTATGTTCATTACTTAATTTGTTAATAACATTGTAAAATTCAAGGAATATTTCATGATTTGATTCCGGCTTTCTATAAATAACACCAACAGTAGACCTTTTACGGTTTTTATCTAAAAAGTCAAACAAATATTCACATGTTAAATTGGTTTCTTGATTATAAACGAGATCTGTCCTTATCATGCGCGGTTCCAGGATTTCTTAGGGGGAGGGGCCCAAATTTGAAATTATGCGAGCCAAATTTTGGTACGTAACGGTGACCAGCAGTGGCGTCATGAGCAAAAACTTTTTTTTTATTTGGAGGGGGGGGGGGACAAAAACAAAAAAAATCCGCATCACCCCACTCTTACATGCAGGCCACGCTAATAAGTGGGTGGGGTAAGTATTTACGATCAGGTAGAGTGTAGCGTAAATTGGCCGGGGTCAAGGGGCGGAGCCCCTGGAAGCTTAGGGGGTATGGGCATTTAATTACGGTCAGATGGGCATATTTTGATACATTATACATGACACTGGCAGGTGTCCAGGGTGCCGAGCCCCCGGAAGCTCAGGGGTTTAGGCAATAAAATACGGTCAGATGTGCATTCAGGGGCCCGCCTTAAAGCCATTGGTGGGTTCGAGGAGGCGGAGCCCCGGAAGCTCATGGATTTTAGGCGTTTAATTACGGTCAGATGAGGCTATTTTGATAGCTTATTTGTGACACTAGCAGGACACTTATTGGTGTGGGGTCCACGGAGCGGAGCCCTCAGAAGCTCTGGCGTTTTATCATTTTTTAACGGTCAGATAAGCATTCAGGGGCCCGCCCTAGGGCCCCTGGATGGGTCGAGAGGGCGGAGCCCCCTGAAGCTCAGGGATTTTAGGCATTTAATTACGATCAGATGAGCATATTATGATACATAACTAGCAGGACACTAACAAGGGCGGATCTAGCTTTTTGCCAAGGGGGGGGGGGATTCGCATTTCTCGCTACGCTCTACCCTTCCATTAATTATATAGCCCCCTCCCCACTTTGGAAGACGTTTCGCGGGCATGCATGTAAACATAAAAAGTGTTGGTAATGCGGATTTGCTTTCTTCCCTTCTGCCCCCTCCCCCCCCCCCCCAAAAGAAAGTTTTTGCTCATTACGCCACTGGTCTCTCGCATTTTGTACCCCCCCCCCCCCCCTGGTCATGAAAAGAGATCGCCGCTCCTGTGTATGTGTATGCCTCTATCACTTAGAATGTAATCACTAACATCACTTAAATGATTCTTCTCCTCTCCTTCTTCTTCATTTTCCTCTTACTTGTAGTTGTAGTAGTAATAGCAGCATGTTTTCTGACTGTTTTCAAGACAATATCATGTTTGTGGATCATAGTTCTACATATCTTGATGTCCAGGCGCGTACGCACTGGGGTTGGGGTCCCCCCCCCCCCCCCCAACGAAACAAAATATTGATCGGCCAAACTTTCAAATTTTGGGACACAAAAAAAATGTGCTTTTAGAGAGAGAGAAATAAATAAATAAACAAATAAAAAAAAAGGAAGAACATGAAACTCACTGCTTACAGATTACATTTCCAATGAGTTGGATCGACATGTGCCTACGAAGTTGCGAACGAAAGTACAACAATACGAAAATAGAAGTTCTATATATTTTCACACGCTAGTGAGGGGAATTTCTCGATTATTTCCAATGAAACCGATTGCGGAAAGCCTAGACTGTATTTTAAACTTTTTTGCACGTACTATAGTCAGGGGCGTCGCTAGACCTTTTCCAATGGGGGGAGGGGGCAGTGTATAGACCACCGATTACCGATTTAACTAGCCACCAATTACCGACAAATACATTAACGCCAATGTCTACAAATTTAACCCGATAAACCTGAGACCGGGGGTCAGGGGGGCGTTATTTTTTTTCTGCGGCATAGATTGGGGTTAGGTGCGTGTTGAGCCTATGGGAAAGGTTAGGGTTAGGGTTAAAATCAAGACCTCTTTTTAAAAGAAAGTCCCAATCTGTGCTGCAGAAAAAAAAATGACGCGCCCGGGGCTATTATTCCTATGAACTATCTATACCTGCGCATGCGCACATGGTCATTTCCTTTGACCTCATAAATTCGGTGTGGCGTGATCGGCAAGAGCGCTGCGCGTGAACACCAGAGTCAAGAGCTCGATTCATAGTTTTGCTATAATGGAACTTTTTTTTTCTTTTGCTGATATTATAGAGTACCGAACTCCGAAGCTGTGACAACATAAAAAATATTTTTTAGAATTTCCGCAATTAATTCAGATAGTCATATCTCAGCCAATGCATAACACATTAAATTGATTTTCGACATTTCGACATTATTTTTGATGCTCTTTCGGAATGTGAAAGCAAAATTGAGAAATTCTAAAAATCAATGTTTGATGACGTCACACTTCACCACTCTATAGTAAGGTTGATAATGACAATTAACAATGATAAGTAATGATTGCTGGTGAAACTTCGAGAAAATACAAGTTTTTGGTTGTAATCTCTCTCAAAGTGGTCACAGCGGATGAAAAGTGTCAATTCGTATGACAAAAATATTCGCCAGCGCCAACCGATATTATACATATCTTGATAATCAGACAGGTGATCATTGCAGCAAGAATTAAATCCAGGATTTTGTTTCAGAATAATCACAATCCAAGCCCAGGTTTCATACATCTATTCACGAAACTATATTGAAATCGGGGCAATAATAGCAATTTCAAAGTGTTGTTTAGACTCTCCTCACACCCACGGACAGACCTGGCTACTCCAGTCACCGCTACTCCATGCTCACACACTCAGCTCCGACTTCAACGCCGACAGCACCGCCGACAGCGGCGCTCAGCTGCCGTGGCAATACACTGTGGACTCAAGGCAGTTTGCAACTGAACTGTCACATGAAGGCGTACTATCACAGATCTATTTGCGCTATTCTTGTTGTGATTTCGATGTAGTTTTCATGAAAAGACCAATAAAACAGAAGCTTGGACTATGATTATGTTGGCATAGATCACAGAATTTGTATAATTATTTTCAGAGTAAAGATTTTACGTGAAAATAGGTCCATGGTTTGCGCCAGTTGTCGCAATCGCCTCGACTCGAATCGACTGTGGTGTGTGCAGTGTGTGACCTGAGAGCGTGTAATACACGTACACTGTGGGCGCCTGGCCTACAAAGCATATCCTATAGAAAGACGCATAACACGGGTAAGCTCAACCCGTTGAGCGTACATATTGGCTACATCCCATCACTCAGGTGAGTCGTCTGTTGATGTGTATTTCTCTTACATGCTACAAAGCAAATCCTATAGCAAGAGGTCTTACTCTGGATTAGCCGCAGCCTTTTACAATAAGACTTGCAACACCCGTTGACGCGAGTGGATTCTCGTCCATCGTGTGTCTCTTCGTCTCTCTTTGATAATTAGACAGAGGGCGGGTGCACGCCTTGCCGACTCGCTCTCGCGGGTTCGTCGCCTCCTCGCAATCCACGACGCCCGCCGTGCTCTCGTCCGCCCGTCCTCCCCGAAACCCCGAAACCGCGTTTAACGGCATGGACGTCGATCGCGGGGTCGACGTGGCACGCGGGTTACGGGAGACAGACCTCGTGGAATTGTGCCGCCCTCCCCGCGCCACGGCGGAGGCGGGCGGGGTCGGGGAAAGACGTTTTTGAGGAACCGTTTTGGCCCGTGTTGGACCCCCCGCGGCGATTTTGCGTATTAGTAATATAGACTAGCAGGACCCGTGGAAAATCCACGGGATTCTAGGGGAGGGGGCCAAATAGATAGATAGATAGAGGCCTATGTGCTATCCAAAAAAAATTAGATTATCTTTATGTAGAGAATTTTTATAATATATGCTGTTTGACCATGAATGGCGCATCGTAAAACAAACTATGTCAGATAGGATCTCGATAATTACTATTTATTTGCATTATTATTGTTGTGATTTCAATGTAGTTTCATGAAAAGACTACATATGCAGAGGCTTGGATTATGATTATGTTGGCATTATTCACAAAATGTGTATAATTATTTTCAAAGTAAAGATTTTACGCGAAAAATCGGACGGTTTGTGGACAAATTGACTCGACTGTGTGTGGGACTGTGAGCGTAGAATCCAGTGAAAGATTTTTTTTTCGGAGACTCGATCTATATCAAATTTTGGGAAAATTTGTGGGGGCTACTTTTTTTTTTCTTTCGGGGGCTCATTTTTCTTGGGCTAATTTTTCATTAATTCATTTAAAGATGCAGTTTGTTTAGTTAAGTAGCGTAGTGTTACGTAAAAAAAGGCGTACTTTCTGCGTCAAGTTTCTACGCCGAAAGTACGAATTTTGTTAAACATATTAAATTGTTTGCGTACGTCCATCTTGCGTACTTTTTTGCGTCCCTCAGGGTATAGTAACGTAGGCCAGCGTATTCTCAGCTCAGCGTAGTTGGTACGCAACTCTACTATGGACCCCACGCCAATTAGTGATCGACCTGCCAGTGTCACAAATGAGGCATTAA